TTGTTGAGGGATGATTTGTGATTCAGTATATGATCTATTCTGAAGAATGTTCCTTGTGCACTCGAAAAGAATGTGTATTCTGCTGCTTTAAGATGAAATGTTCTGAATATATGTTAAGTCCATCTGGTCCAGTGTGTCATTCAAAGCCATTGTCTCCTTGTTCATTTTCAGCTTAGGTGATCTCTCCATTGTTGTAAGTGGGGTGTTAAAGTCCCCTATTATTATTGTATTATTATCAATGAGTTTATTTATGTTTGTTATTAATTGATTTATGTATCAATTATGATATAATGCCCTTCTTCATTTCTTATTTCAGTCTTTGTTTTAAAATCTAGTTTGTCTGGGGCGCCTGAATGGCTCAGTTGGTTAACCGTCAACCTTGGCTCACGTCATGATCTCACAGTTCGTGAGTTCGAGCGCCGCATCAGGCTCTGGGCTGACAGCTCAGAACCTGGAGACTGCTTCAGATTCCGTGTCTCCCTCTATCTGCCCTTCCGTTGCTTGCACTCTGTTTCTCGCATTGTCTCAAAAGTAAATAAACATTAAAAAAACTTAAAATCTAGTTTGTCTAGATATAAGAATGGCTACTCTGGCTTTCTTTTGATGTCCATTCACATGATAGATGGTTCTCCATAGCCTCACTTTTAAACTGTAGATATCTTTAGGTCTAAAATGAGTCTCTTGTAGGCAGAAAATTGATAGATCTTTTTTTTTTTTTATTCATTCTGCTACTCTATGTCTTTTGATTGGAGCACTTAATCCATTTACATTCAGAGTGATTATTGAAATTCATGAATTTAGTGCCATTGTGTTACCTGTAGAGTTGGTGTATCTGGTGATGCTCTCAGGTCCTTTCTAGTCTTTCTTGCTTTTGGTCTTTTTTTTTTTCCTCCACTCAGAGTCCCACTTCAAATTTCTTATCATGCTGGTTTAGTGGTCACAAACTCCTTTAGTTTTTGTTTGTGAAATTCTTTATCTCTCTAACAGCCTTGCTGGATAGAGTGTTCTTGGCTGCTTATTTTTTACATTCAGTATGTTGAATATATTTTGCCACACCTTTCTGACCTGCCAAGTTTCTGTGGACAGATATTCTGTAAACCTGGTCTGTCTTCCCTGGTAGGTTAAGGACTCCCCCCGCACCCCTCCTGGCTGCTTTCAGGATTCTTTCCTTGTCTGTGTATACTGTGAATTTGACTATGATATGTCTTGGCCATAGCCAGATTTTGTTGGATTTAATGGGAGTTTTCTGTGCTTCTTGGATTTTGATGTTTGTGTCTTTCCCCAGATTAGGGAAGTTTTCAGCTATAATTTACTCACATAATCCTTCTGCCCCCTTTTCTCTCTCTTCATCTTCTGGGACTCCTGTGATATAAATGTTATTATGTTTTAACAAATTGCTGAGTTCCTTAAGTCTGCCTTTGTGATCTCTAACCTTTGTTTCCCTCTTCTTTTCAGCTTCATTATTTTCCATAATTTTATCTTCTATGTCACTAATTTGTTCTTCTGCCTCATCCATCCTCATTTTTGTGGCCTCCATTTGGGTTTACATCTTCGTTATAGCATTTTTAATTTCAGCCTGACTAGATTTTAGTTCTTTTATCTCTGCATAAATGATTCTGTGGTGTCGTCTATGCTTTTTTTCAAGCCCTGCTAGTATCCTTATAATCATTGTTTTATTTATTTTAAAAGATTTTTTAAATGTTTATTTATTTTTGAGAGGGGGGAGGGGCAGAGAGGGAGACAGAATCTGAAGTAGGCTCCCCACTGTCAGCACAAAGCCCAATGTGGGGCTCAAACCCGCCAACCATGAGATCATGACCTGAGCCGAAGTCCAAGGCTCAACTGACTGAGCCACCCAGGCATCCCATAATCATTGTTTCAAATTCTAGTTCAGAGATCTTACTTACATCTGCATTGACCAAATACCTGGTCATCATTTCTTCCTGTTCTTTCTTTTGAGGTGAATTCCTCTATCTTGTCATTTTGGAGGAAGAAAAGACAACAATAATAGAATGAAATAAAAATGAAAAATAAAGGGAGCCAGATCCTAGGTGTGTTTTTGTCTGTTTGTTAAGAGAGGCTTGATAGAAAAAAAAAAAAGAAAAGAGGAAAGAGGAGAGAAAAAAATTTAATTTAAAATTTAAAAAATAAAAAGAATAATAAAATAAAATAAAAAAATTGTGCTTTTTCTGTATACAAGAAACAAAAGAAAAGAAAAACAACAACAGCAACAACAAAACAAAAACAGAAGGAACAACAAATGAACAAACAAACAAAAATGAAGCTAGATCCAGTTTCCCCTATAACTGAAACTTTGCAGCAGTCTGTGATCAGTAGACTAAGCTCAGGGAAGGGATCTGTGCTGGTCTTCTGCAGGAGGGGCCTCCAGGGCACAGTGGAGGTGGGGGGGTGCGGTTGACGGTAGGAGGGAGGCTTGGTGTAACAGCTCCATTCTCCACTTGGTGGCATTGTGTAGCTCACTGGAGTTGATTAGTGTTTGTGGGCTAATGGTGGAAATGCCTTCACCCCACTCCCTAGTCTCCAGAGTGTGAAGTTTGTACCTTCACAGATGTGCAGTTGCCTCTTTTGTCTCCCAGGCATCGGTCAGCTCCCTGCCTTCCCCCTGTCTCCCAGGTATCAGCCTACTAGGGAGTGCCTCCCTCCAGATTTTTATCTCAGGAATGGCTGTGTTTCAAAACCCCACACTTCAGATACCTCCACAGTTCCAGAGAAAAGGGTCTTGCTGCACTGTGGCCCACTTGTCCCAGGAAATGGTTGTACCATTATGCAGCAGTAGCAGCTCAGAGTTTGTGGTAAATTGCAACACATATCCTGCTCCAGGGTTTGCTACCCTCAGGCAGTGTCTGTTTTTATATGGGTGAATGTGGCAGTTTGATGGTGCCCACTGGGTCTCTTGCCCATGGGGAGACTGTATCACTTCTACTAAATGCACTCCAAGCTGGGGAACCCATTCTCCCTGTGCAACCCAGGGAATCCTCAGACCATGCTGCCCATTCCCAGGGTTCTGGCCTGCTTTCTCACCAGAGAACCACCAGGGAGGGGCTAACCTCTGAAACTTCAGACTCTGTGCTCCACTGTTTATAAAAACCTGGTGATAGTGAAACCTTCTCCTTTTCTTTTCCCCATGCTAAGCTTTTTTGCACAGTCCCCTGTGCATGTTTTTACTCTTTCTCTCTGTTTTCAGAGGGAAGAGTGCTTTTTTGCACAAACCCAATGTGCTGCTCTCTCTCCCTCTCTTTCTCCTCTCTGTGAAAATGCTTTCCTCCCCCTCTGCAGCACCACGGCTTATCTCTCCCCCATTTCACCTCACTGCACCATATACCTGCCACATTCTCTCCCTCAAATTATGTAGATTGTTCTGTTAATCCTCAGCTTGATTTCCTAGCTGTTCAAAATGGTTTGATATTGATCTAGCTGTGTTCAAGGGACAAGATCAGGGTTCCCTTATTACTCTGCCATCTTAACTCCTCCTCTCCTCTCTTAAGTTTCTTAAAAAACAGTAACAGAAGATTTAATTACAAGTATTACCATGTCAATTAGCTGGTGCTGTAATGGCTATGCCCTTTAGATGAGGCCTGTGCTATCCACTTTACCACCCATCATTCCCATTTAGCCTGCTTCGTTTTCTTAATTGTTTGCCTGTGGGTATTTGAGTATGAGACCTTGATTTAGAAGCTTAAGTCACGGTCTTCTATTAGCCTAAGAAAACCCGAACATATGTCTATGTATTGTTCATAATATCAATTGAAGCAAAATTTACCTATTTTGAACCTAATGACCCTTGACTCAGAAAATGAAGGACATTTGGATGTCAGACACTTTTGATTTCAAGGACTTTTGATCTTGATGTTTTAATTGCTATTTTAATCACATTCTACTTTAGATAATATACCTACTACCTAATAATGGTTTCACTTCAAGAAATACATGTAATTTTAGAGTTTTTATTCCATTTATAACAAATATTAGTAGACATAGCCTATATAAAATAAAACCAACCATAACTAAAAACCTACAGACAAAGAAATGAAGATTATAGAATCACATATATTTGGTAACATTAATAACAACAACAACAATAAAAGACCCTGAAAAAAATATTTTTGACCAAAATTCTACAGAAAAATTATCTCTTTTTCACATAATTTGAATGTGTGAGATTTGAGTTAAAAAATAATGGCCAATAAATAGAATTAAAAATAGCAGGCACTATTTGATATAGATTTTTCAACATTTTGATCCAACATTTTGATCAACAAAATGTTTAATGTAAGGTATACCAAGAAAATAATTAATTTTGATAAAAGTAATTTTAGTAAAATAAAAATTTTAATGGAAAATGTCCAAAACCAGTTTAATTATGCTTACATAGAAAACTGGACAAGGAAGTAAACTTTCTCAAGAACATGCTGAAAATTCATTGTGTTTGTATAATTTAGACGCCATTTTATATTTAAAATATTGGTCAGGGGGCACCTGGGTGGCTCAGTTAGTTAAGCATCTGACTTTGGCTCAGGTCATGATCTTGCTGTTCATGAGTTGGAGCCCTGTGTAGGGCTCTGTGCTGACAGATCAGAGCCTGGAGTCTGTTTCAGGTTCTGTGTCTCCCTCTCTCTGCCCCTGCCCCCCACCCCTCTCAAAAATAAATAAACATTAAAAAAAATTTTTTTAAATAAAATAAAATGTTAGCCAGGATCAAAATACCTATAGTTCAAAATGATGGAAATCCAAACTACAGTATCAAAATATTCTGCCATTTTAAGGACTTTGTCAATAATGGTATCTGATTGACTGAAGCCTGGTAAGTGAGTGCAGTGTTACCAAAAAGAATTTCAAAAACTGAAATTGTATAGAATTTGTTCAGTTTCTTGAAGGATGAAAATACGAAAAGGGGATGGATATAAGATCACATAATGCTGTAGGTTAGAAATATTCACTTGTGACTGCTGATAAGCCTATTTCTTCTTTCTCTCACTAAGAACACCAATCAGGATCCTCAGGCCTGGAAGATGAAAGACACTCCAGCCAACAAACTGTCCATTGCATGGCAGCTACCACAATATGCCTTGGTTACAGCTGGGGAGGTCATGTTCTCTGTCACAGGACTTGAGTTTTCTTATTCTCAGGTAAGTTTTTCCAAGTGAAAGTGGAGGTATATATATATTTCTCAGAGAAGGATGAGGTTTAATCCTAGCACTGCCTTAAATAGGTATGTGATCCTAGTCAAGACCTCTCTATTTTTCGGCCTTAGATTCCTTACATATGACCCTGAACAGAGAGTCATCTTGACTCCCAGGATCATGGCGGGCAGCATAGTAGGTGATGCTGTTTGGGATCTAGGAAAGGGTACTTTAGGAATGAGGACTGTGGGAGCGCCTGGTGGCTCAGTAGGTTGAGTGTCCAACTTCTGCTCAGGTCATGATCTTGCAGTTCATGAGTTGGAGCCCTGTGTTAGGCTCTGTGCTGACAGCTCAGAGCCTGGAGCCTGTTTCAGATTCTGTGCCTCCCTCTCTCTCTCTGCACCTCCCCACTCGGGATCTGTCTCTCTCTCTTTCAAAAATAAAAATAGATCACAAAAAATTTTTTTTTAAAGAATAAGGACTGTGAAATCAAACTGGCCATGTTCAAATTCTGACTGTACAACCTATTGCAAAAACTTGAGCAAGTTAATGATCTCTGATGCTATTTTTCTTTATGTATAAAATAAGAATACTGGTAGAATTTATCTCTTAGGGTATAATGAAGATTATATGGTATAATGAATTAAAATATTCAATTAAGAGCTCCATCTTATTTTTACTGTTAACATTATTTCCATGCCCTGAATCAAACACCACAGCTGAACTTGGGGGGGTGGGGCAGGAATTCAAATTTGGAAACTTTTGTGGGCAAAGTTTTCTGGATGCATGGGTCATATGGATGCTGTAGGGCGTTTGTTTACTCACAAACCTGTGTCCTCTTTAGGCTCCCTCTAGCATGAAATCTGTACTCCAGGCAGCCTGGTTGTTGACAGTTGCAGTTGGGAATATCATCGTGCTTGTTGTGGCACAGTTCAGTGGCCTGGTACAGGTATGGATCTGATGGAAGTAGGAACTTGTCTACCCATGGGTTCCCCTCCATGTTCCCTTTCTCCCTGTTCCCCTATCCCTTTGCCCCTCACATTTCCTACTGAGTGCTGTGGCATGAGATGGGCTAGATATAAACAGACATGGCCAGGAAAATAGACATATAAGAGTGGCAATAATGGCCATCATAGGCCCATGTGAGGAGACGCCAGTGAACCCATTCTTCTTTTAGCAAACCTCTGCCTACACTGGTGATCCTGAATCAATCTGCTCATCCTACAAAGATCCATTTAATTTCAAGTTTCTCCACATTCATCTCTATATTTATTTCTTCCTGCAGTGGGCAGAATTCATTTTGTTTTCTTGTCTCCTGCTGGTGGTCTGCCTGATCTTCTCCATCATGGGCTACTACTACGTTCCTATAAAGCCAGAGGATTTACAGAAGCCAGCAGATAAGCAGATTCTCCATACCCAAGGAAACGTGATCAACCTGGAGACCAAGAAGACAAAGCTTTAATGGCTCCTTGGCCTCTGCCCAGACCCCAATCTCTGGCTTTGGTCTTGGCCATCATCCATCTTAAAGCATTTTTTTCTCCTACTTGGTCAGGGAATAGAAGTAGCATCATATCTGAGATGATCTCCTTCATTTTTGATAGAAGCAGTTCTAGGACTGGATTTTCCAGTACATTAAAGTACAAGTCCCCTGAGACTCTATGTCTCCCCATCAATTACTAAACTCTGTAAACATTGTGTAGTATTGCTGAAGCAGGCTAGGTGTTTCTAAATGTCCATTAAAAACACAAATGTATATTGAGATTAATTTCTGGGGTTATGCAAAGTTATGTAGGAATCCCTTTACTTGCCATTTAGAACTAATGACTCCATTCTTTGAGGTGCTGATTCTGGGGAAAAATTGCAGAATAACAGAAATGGTATTTCAAGTTTCTTCGTAAGCAACATACTTATACTATTACTAGGACCTCATGAATTAGTGTGTCTGGTGCAATCTCGTTCAGGGACTGGCCTGTCAGCTACCCAGGTTTGATAAGACCTTTTTAGTAAATTTTTCAGTACAGGTGGTAGGAGACAAATGACATTTTATTAATACACAGAAGAAATATATCTTTCTGATAATTATAGTATTTTATCTACTAACCAAAATACCTTTTCTTCATACTGGTAGATCTTTGGAGACCAAATTAAATATGCTAAGCATGGTTCTGGAAATCAAGAACAAGTATAACTTGTAAAAATCTTGGGGTGCCTGGGTGTCTCAGTTGGTTGAGTCTGACTCTTGATTAGGGTTCAGGTCAGGATCTCATGGTTCATGAGATGGAGTCCTGCATCAGGCTCTGCACTGAAGGCATGGAGCCTGTTTGGGATTCTGTCTCTCCCTCTCTCTCTCAAACATAAATGAATAAACTTCTTAGAAAAATAAATCCTGTTGAGCCATTCTTCTACAATGCACATTCTTCTTGGGACTACAATATTTCAGCTGGATTATGCCTTCCTGTGGACAGTTGTATAGACACTTATTATAATTTTCCAACCATACCTTTTCAATGTCATTGGGCCAGCTTTTTATTATAATTACATCATTTCTAGTTTATTGCAACAGATATTTAATAACAATAATATTTTTATGAATTCAACTTCCTTTTTTATTATCACCCTCTTCAGCTTCAGAGTAGTGGTCTGTTTTGATAATTTTTCCTATTTGTCTTTTCCTATAATTTTAATTTCTTTTTCCAATTTTTTATTTAAATTCTAGTTATTTAACATACAGTGTAATATTAGTTTCAGATGTAGAATTTAGTGATTCATCACTACATACACCACCGGGTGCTCATCACAAGTGCACTCCTTAATACCCATTGTCTATTTAATCCATTCTCCCACTCACCTCCCCTCTGGTAACCATCAGTTTGTTCTCTATAGTTAAGAGTCTGGATTGCCTCTCTTTCCCCACCCCCATGTTCATTTGTTTTGTTTCTTAAATTCCATATATAAGTGAAATCATATGGTATTTGTCTTTCTCTGACTTATTTCGCTTAGCATAATAATCTCGAGCTCCATCCAAATCATTGCAAATGGCAAGATTTCATTCTTTTTTAAGACTGAGTAATATTCCATTGTATATATGTACCACATCTTCTTGATCCATTCATTAGTTACATAATTTTTAAATGCTGTCTCTCCATTTAGGCCTTGGAATTTCTTGTTTATTAAAAAAGTTACAATAACACTCTTGGTTTAAGCTTATAAAATGGTGATGCTCAGTGGAGGGGGCTTGGTCCCATATAAAGATCCCATCAAAATCTGTAAGGGGATGACAAAAGTGGTAGAACACAAGGGTGTTTTTTTCTGTGTTAAAATGTCAAAAACATTACCTTGTACACAATGAATGAACCAGTGGACAGGCATGGGGATGTCATTATACTACTGTGCATTTCTAGGGAAAAAAGTTCAGAACCACAGTACTACAGAGCCTCACTTCTGCTGGTTTTGCTCCATTATTCTCATCTAGAACTGTGTTGAGTCTCACACAGTAAATGTAACAAATAAGAAAAGTTACTCCAGTTTCCCAAGTGTTACATACTTTAGTTTTACTGGCCATGATTTCAAAGATACTGAAGTGATAGTAACGCCATTCAGTTTCCCCAGATATCTTGCTGTGAACCTGACCCTACTTCTTCAGAAGATATTGTTTGTTTTTGAGCAGCCTTAACTCAATCTCCTCTATGAAATATTGTTTAAGGAGAAGTTAACAGTGCTCTGTGAATAAAAGTTTCTGTGGACAAATACATTTTGGGAATGAGGCATATTATATCCTCTTCCATAGTAAAGATTCTGAGAAATCCTGCAGTAAAGACAAAGTAAAAACACTTTGTTTAGCCAAAATGGTATAGTAATCTGCAAAACAATGGTTTGGGGGAAAACTGTGGTAGGCAGTTCTTCCTTATGCTGAACTAAAACCTTCCTCTCTCAAACCTCCTACCATTGCCTCTTTCATATGGCAGAACTTTTGCCAATTGGGGAGAACTTTTATGTCTCCTCTTCGATCATCAAGTGAGTGTACATCAAGTTAAAGATTCTCAGCTCCTTTAATTCCTTTAATGGGTTTTCACAGGGCACAGTCCAGCCCTTTCAACATTCTTTTTTACCTCTTCTGAGAAATGTATTTTGCCTGAAATGTAGCAGTGGCTCAGAAGCCTTCTTAACATGATACCTGGAGCCAAATACACTACCAGAAGTGGTCTGACTAGAGGAAATAAGACCTGCCTTTCTGTAAACAATATACTTCAGTTAATACAACCTTTGGTAATATTAGATGTTTTTGGCAACTCTACCATGATATATGCTCATATTCCAACCAGATGGTTGGCTAAAATATCCAATTTTTTAAAAGAGCTATTATTTATCCAAAAACATCTTTGAGTTTCACCATGTGCCATTCACCAAGTTAGGTATTGGAAAAACAAAAGTGAATAATCTACTATACCTATATGAAAGGTTACCTCACTCATCTTGACTGACTGTCAAGAGCCTAGAAAGAACAGAGGCCTTGAGGAAGTTATGGTATATTGAGGAAGAACAAGACGGGCAATATTACAGGGCTCCAATAAGGTAGAAAGTGGATGCAGTCAGAAGAAGCTAATGACCAGATGATGTGGGGCCTTGTGACTACAATAAGACCTTTTGATGTTACTGTTTTTTTTTAAATTTATCTATTTAAATTCAAGTTAGTTAACATACAGTATAGTATTGGTTTCAGGAGCAGAACCCAGTGATTCATCACTCACATATAATGCCCAGAGCTCATCCAGCAAGTGTCCTCCTTAATGCCCATCACCCATTTAGCCCATCACCCCGCCCACCTCCCCTCCAGCAACCCTCAGTTTGTTCTCTGTATTTAAGAGTCTTTTAGGGTTTGCCTCCATCTAAGTTTATATCTTATTTTTCCTTCCCTTTCCCTATGTTCATCTGTTTTGTTTCTTAAATTCCACATATGAAATCATATGATATTTGTGTTTTTCTGACTGAATGATTTCACTTAGTATAATACACTCTAGTTCCATCCTCATCAACATAAAAAGCTTCTACACAGCAAAGGAAACAATCAACAATGGAATGGGAGAAAAAATTTGCAAATGACACATCTGATAAAGGATTAGTGTCCAACATCTACAAAGAACTTACCAAACTCAACACCCAAAAAAACAAATAATCCAATGAAGAAATGGGCAGAAGACATGAATAGGCATTTTGATGTTATTCTAAGCGAGATGTGAAACTGTTGGAGGTTTAGAACATGGGAATGACATAATCTGACTTTATATTTAGGATAACGCTGGCTGCTAAGAGGAGAATTGTCCATAGGCAGGAAGGAATAGAAGCAGGGATTCCAATGAGAAGACTTTCATAATAGTCCAGGCAAAAAAAAAAAAAAAAATGTTACTTGGACAGGGTGGTAGCAGTGAAGGTGGGAAGAAATGGTTTGACTTGGGATTTAACTTAAGGTAGGACTGAAATGATTTGAGTATGGCTTGCATATATGGTTTGAAAGAAATAAATCAATGCTGACTTTTAGATTTGGAGACTTGAGTAATGAGGATGAATGATGGTGCAATTTGGGGGGAGTAGGAAGACTAGGGTTAAGAACAGGTGTGAGGGGGCGCCTGGGTGGCGCAGTCGGTTAAGCGTCCGACTTCAGCCAGGTCACGATCTCACGGTCCATGAGTTTGAGCCCCGCGTCGGGCTCTGGGCTGATGGCTCAGAGCCTGGAGCCTGTTTCCGATTCTGTGTCTCCCTCTCTCTCTGCCCCTCCCCCGTTCATGCTCTGTCTCTCTCTGTCCCAAAAATAAATAAACGTTGAAAAAAACAAAAACAAAAAAAAAAAAAAAAAAAAAAAAAAAAAACAGGTGTGAGGTATAAAGTAACTAAGACTTTTTGTTTTGTCAATGTTGAACTTCAGCACCAATTTGGTGTCCAGTTGGAGATGTTGAGCTGGCAGTTTCATGAATCTGAAGTTTAGTTAAGAGGCTGGAGCTGGAGATATAAACTTCAGAGTCTTTAGCATATAAATGGTATTTAAAGCAATGATACTGGATGAGATAACATATGAAGTGAATGTATGTAGGGGAGAGGTTCAAGGGCTAGCCCTGGGATTTTCAACATTAGAGGTCAAGAAGAGTAGGAGTCTGGACTTTATATTAAAAGCTGTAGTTATCAGGGGTGCCTGGGTCGCTCAGTCGGTTAAGTGTCTGACTTCAGTTCAGGTCATGATCTTGTGGTTCGTGGGTTCAAGCCACACGTTGGGCTCATGTGCTGACATCTCAGAGCCTGGTACCTGCTTCAGATTCTGTCTTCCTCTCTGCTCTCCACCCTTCCCCACCCCCACTCACACTTTGTCTCTCAAAAATAAATAAACATCAAAAAAAGCTGTAGTAATCAAAACAGTATAGTACTGGCACAAAAATGGATACATATATCAGCAGAACAGAATAGAAAATCCAG